CTCCTCCTTCTGGTGCTGGGGATTGAACCAGGGCCTCGTCGGCTGGGCAAGTGCTCCACCGCTGAGCTGTGTCCCCAGCCCCTAATTGATATTCTTAATGATGTTCTTGGTCGATTTCCGTCCGGCCTCCCTCGGGGGGAACCACCTCATAGAAACATCTTTTCTCAAGATGCAAGAGAAAAATAGCCCAGAAGGAAACACCCCCAGGCAGCGGCCCTCTCTGGCTCTGGAGACCCCGCGTCTGTTTTTAAGCCTCCTGGACCCCCTCAGGTGTTCTGCAGCGTGGAGTGCCCGGGGGGCGGTGGGGTTGGATTCCGTTTCCCCTCGTGTTCTTCCTGGTTCTAGAATCTGCAGGGCATGGTCCTGGCAAGGCCTGAGTTTGTTGTTCTTGTTGTTTACATGGTGGCCTCAGGAAGGATGGAAGCCTGCACGGGTCAAAAGAAGGAAGCGGGAGGAAGGCTGTGTGTAGGGAGTGGTGAGAGTCGGGCTGGTGCCGGAGAGCTCTGTGGGCGCCGCTCGCACACGGAGGGACGTGCCGTGGGCGGCCTGGTCTACTTCAGAGCGTGGCCCTGTGCATGCCCTTTCTAAGAAGCCTTCTGGAAGGTTTGGGAAGGGCCTGGGGGTTCTGTGGTTAAAGAGGGGGAACCTGTCACCTCACCTGGGGCAATCAGGGTGGGCTTCACGGAGGCGATGTGACTGGGCCCTAAGGAAGAGGCGGCATCTTCCAGGACAGTCTGGCGGGCTGACTTTGACGTCAGACACACCCTGGCATGAATCTGGGCCTGGCCGGTTACTGGCCGTGTGGCCTTGGCTGGGGGCCTCAGTTTCCCAGCCTGTGGAATGGGACCGTAGTAACAATGACAGGTACCGCACGGGGGTAGGGGGGTGGGGGTGGGGACTGAGCACAATGAGATGCTCTTGCAAAGGAGCCACCCCGAGGCCGGGTGCACAGGAAGTCATCGACAAATGTGGTTCCCTCTCCCTTTCTCATTTCCTTTTCTCTTCTTAAATGTACGTGAGCAGGCTGCACCGCCTCCCGGGGCTGTTGTGTTTTGTGCCCACCCTGAGCCACCATGAGGACTGGGTGGGGTAGAGGGGAGCATTAGAGACGCCCCAGGAGGCTGAGGGTCTGCGGAGGTGGGGTGACCTCCGGGGGGTCTGGGCTGAACCCCAGGGACCCTGGAGCTGAGAGCAGGTCTGGAACTGCCCCACCGCAGGGCTGGACCGGAGCCTCCTCTCCGGGCCTCAGTTTCCCCAGCTACGGTCGGTGCTGGCCAACTGCAGGGGGGCTTCCCAGAGACGCCCTCTGTGCACATGTGGCTAGCGTGTCCGCCCGCGTGCTCACTCCTGCAGGCCCAGGGCCAGATCAGTGCTCGTGTATGCAGTAGAGACGCAATAAACGTCCCATGAATGATTGTCACGTCACATCACCCAGCCACGGAGGATATGCGACTCCGAGGGAACAGCCTCTTCAGGGACTCCCCTCCAGACTCTAGGGACCTCACCTCAGGCCACAAGCATGTCCTGAGCACCTGCTGTATGCATGGCTCTGCCCAGCCCAGGAAGAAAGCAGCAGCCCCAGCAGCTGGGGAGAAGCCCGAGGGGCTCTGAGCCGAGGGCGGCCAGGGGCCTGGAGCCCTGGATGCGGGGAACTGGCGCCCTGACCCTGGGAGGGTGGGGCTGCCTCTTCCTCTTTCTTTGGAAAAAATAAAAAAGCGTTTCCCTCCTGAATCTCTAAGTCCTACATGTCCGTGTTTCAGAGACTGGAAAACACAGTCCCCAAGAGTTTCAAATCAGTTCTCCTGCCGCAGTCGCACCCTGCAGCACGGACTGACTGTGGTCTGTCCAGGCCCCCAAGGTGACCTTGTCCTCAGAGGTGGCTTCCTTCGCCCCTGGGGAAGGGCCCTGGCCCCTGGGTGGGGACTCGGGGTGCAGGGCTGGGCTTCCCACGGGACCCCTACCACCTCTCTGTCCAGGTGCCTCTTCCCAAGATGCCAGGGGGCTGTGGTCACAGGTGACGCCTCACAGATCCCCCGTGTCCTGCAGCGGGTGGCTGGGCAGGCTCAGGCTCCCCGAGGGGCAAGTCCTGAGGACGGACAGGTGTCGGGGCTGTGGACTGTCCCCAGGTGAGTTGAGCTTGGAGACAGGGGCATGCCCCAAATGGCCCCCCTCCCAACCTCCCGCCTGTCATTTCGCCTCCTGCCCCCTGAGCTCCCTTCCCCGTTTCCCTCCTGAGCCCCGCGGAGCCCAGCCCCGAGGATGTGGCCACACAGGTGCCCCTGACGGCAGGGGACCTGCCTTGACGGAGCCCGGATGGGCAGGGCCTCACCCTGCAGGGCCCGGTGCTCACAGGGGATCTCAGTCACCAAGTCCCACGGGGAAGGGCACCTGGGGGGCCGCGGTGGCCTCCCCGCACAGGGCAGCTCCCCGCGCCGCCTTCCCGCCCACACGTAAGTCTGAAGCTTTTGCCAAAAACCCTTTTCCCAGACTTGAAAGAAAACCCCAAAGAGGAACCTAAACCCCGAGCCGCGGCCCCGATTGGCCGGGAGGCCTCGGGCTGGTCCAGGCAGGCGTTTCAAAGAAAAACCAGACGGCGAGGGGGAAGTGGGGGGCCGGCCGCCCGGGCTGACCAGCCGGTGGCCTTTACGTCCTTCCGTCACTCACCGCTCTCTTCTTCCTTCCCTCCATTCATCAGCGAGAGAAGCCACATGTCACCCGTGAGCCTGCCCCTGCTCCGAGGACCAGAGGACCCCCAAGATCGGGGGGGAAAGGGTCAGGGCTCCCAGAGGGGACAGTAGGGCAGCTCTATCACCTCCCCGTCTCAGCTCAGAGTCAGACTTTTTTTTTTGCACAAAGGAAGGAAGGGTACTGAGCAGCAATGATCTCTGGCGTCCATGCAGCCTGGACGCCGCCCCCCGCTCTGTATGAATGATGGGTTCTGTGAGTTATCTCCATTTTACAGATGAGAAAACAGAGCACAGAGAGGTGAGGTGCATCTCCCAAGGCCACACAGTGAGGAAAGGCAGCCTGGCCTTTTATGTTGTATTTCATGCCACCTCCCCACCAAAGAGCACCCTCTTCTCAACCTTCACCCCCGGGAGCCCTTGTCACAGGGCCTGACCGTCTCCAGGTCCCCTGCTCAGCTCTGTCTAGTGGGGAAAGCCCGGAGCCAGCGTTGGAGAGAGGAGCCCATCTGGAGGCGGCCTGTGCTGACTGAGGCTCGACAGGCCAGACGGGGCGGGTGGGGCTCAAGGCGGGGCCATGCACTCTGTGCCACCACCCTCTGTGGCCAGTGTCACTAGCCCTGTTTTACGGAGGAGGAAATTGAGAGCAGAGGGTCCGGCCAACGGTCTACTGAGCGGCTTGGACCCGAGTCTGTCTGGCCCCTAAACCACAGGGAAGGTGGGTGGCGGTCCTTGGTGGCTGTGAGAAGTGGCTGTCCTGTTGCCTGATGGGTCTTCCATAGACCACACCCCTCCTGGACCCCGGGTTCCCTGTCTGAAACGGGGAAGGGGCTCCCTCCGCCTCCCAGCTCCCACGGTCCCCCGGGTGGGCTCCTGTGCCTTCTCTAGACCAGGGTCTTTCCACATTGCACCCCTGCCCTGTCCCCCCAGGGGCCTCCTTCAGGGGGCGCTGCTTCAGGACCAGTCCTGGGAGGCCCAGGCTGCAAATCCACCCAGACCCCAAGCCCTTCCCCCCTCGGGCCTGGGCTGAGCCTTGAGGCTGGCCTTGGGACCAAGCTCTGAGGACAGAGCTCCCTGGTGGCTGCAGGTGGCCCGGGGAGACTCCCGGCAGAGGGGCTGTTTGAGCTGAGCAGGGAAGATCGGGAGGACTCCGGGCCACCCCTGGACACGCTGGTGGTGGATTCAGTGGAGGGCCTGCGGGTGAGGAGTCCCCAGGAGATGCAAGGCCCGGATTTCAGCTGCCCCACTGCACCCTGAGGCCGGCCTGCCTCCCTGCCTCTCAGGAGCCTGGACTGGCTCTGGAGCCAGGGTTCCCTCTAGTCATTGTTCCCTTCCAGCCTCCAAGAATGTTCTGGAAGGTCAGGCTTCAAGCCCTGCCGCTCAGGGGCATCTGTGTCCCAACCCCCTCCCCCACAGGTAACCCGCAAGCTCGGCTTTGGTGCGGCCAGCTCAGGGCCCGGGCGTCAATGGGCCCTCTATGTGACCAGCAGGGCCGATGGGGCTGCCGCTGGCTGTCGTGGGCACGGGCAAGGCCCGGACACACAGCCCCACTGTGTGGGGCCGGCTCACGACCGGCCTGTGGGCAGTGGGGGGCTCCTAGGAGTGCCCTTCCAGCCTGGGGGGCACTTTGGACAGGCAGGGTGGTCTGGGGAGATGGCGTGTGCCGGGTGGCCTCAGGAGCCGCCATCAAAGAGGCCCGGCAGACGTGGCGCCAGGCAGGCCCTGCAGCAGGCACGGAATGGCTGCGGTCAGCCTGTCCATCCTGAGGGCCCCCGGGGCGGAGGAGGCCTCCACAGCAGATATCCTTGGGGTGAGCGACCTTCCAGGCTGCCTGGGGTTCGGGGACTTGCAGCTAAACCCCGGAGAGTCCCCGCCGTGGGCTACTGCCTGGGCCCAGGACAGGACACGGCACTGACCTCACTGGCCCAAGCAGCTTCCTTCCTGTCCGGTGGCTTCTGAGTCACCGGCTAGCCCTGTCCTGGCTAGACGTGCCCGGGGCCGTTTGGTCCACCCGCTGCCCCCACACAGGTCCAGTCTGCATCTCTCCCGGGCATCTCTGGGGCAGAGTTGCTGGCCAACCCCATCTCTGAAGAGAGGCCCACGGCCACACTGGAGAGGCCCCGCTCAGGCCCGCAGCTGGCCCTCCGGCCCTCCCCGCCCTGCACGGCCCTGCAGCCACCCCGCGGCGCCCAGGACCCTCCTGCCTGCCTTCTGCACCCCCCTCCCGGCTACTCCTTCTGCCTGGGCGGAGCCTCTCCTCCTGGTCACCTCCTGCAGGACTCGGGGGACTTGCCCGCTCCTTCCCCGAGGCCCGGGTCAGGGGCTCTGTCTGAGCTCAGACCCCGGGTCTTCCCCCTTGTGACACAGGCCCTGCTGCACTTTTCTGTGGGCCCGTCCCTTGTCCCACCAGTCGGCGAGCTCCTAGGGTGGAGAGCCTGGCCCAGGTCCCTGAGCGCAGCTCCGCCAGGCAGGTAGCGTCCTCTGAGCAAGGACCCTGGGCCCGGTGCTCCAGGCACAGTGCTCCCCACAGCCCGTGGGGTCGCGGCCATCGTCACCCCTTTCAGACGGGGAAACTGAGGCACAGACACCTGCCCAGGTGAGCTAGGGAGGGCGGGGGCAGGACTTGAGTGGCGAGGAGCTGAGTCCATGGGAGGAACTTCTGCCTCTCCAGGGGCCATGGACGCTGCCCGGGATGGTTTAGGTCCTTTCCCTTCCTGGAGGGGACCCCCTCGTGTCCCCAGGAGAGAGCTTCTGCCTGCGGGGTGTGGTGCAGAGGTGCCGACGGGGACCTGGCCATGGGGGGGGGCTCAGGAAGCTGCTGGCCCCTCCTTAGCTGGGTGTTACCCAGGGTCTTCAGGGCCACTGCCTGAGTTGCCAGATGGGGAAACCAAGGCCCAGAAAGGGACCCAGAATGTGACAGTCCTTCGGTCCCCTCCTATTTGTAAATACCCCTTGTCCTGCCTGGGAGGCTTCTGGGGACCTCTCACCCTCCCTGTCTTCCGTCTCAGGGACACAGGCCACCGTCTGTGTGCAGCCCTAGGCTGGCCTCACCCTGGGCAGGGCAGGGACCCCCCAAAGACTCTCCACCTTCCTCCCAAACCTCCTTCCTCCGCAGAGCCGGGGAGCCGGGCGGAGGCCCTGCTCGTACCCGGGGAGAAGCCTCGGAGCTGGGTGCCGTCGGGAGGTGCCCCTCAGCCCAAGCCTCCAGGCGGCCGTGGCTCGTCCCCATCTCAGGAGGCCTCTCGTCACCAGTTGTGCCCCAGTGCTCACAGCAGGGACGAGGACGGGAGAGGATGCTCCGTCCCCAGCCGGCCTGTGCCACAGGAAACTCAGAGTCAGCCGCACTCTGGCCAGTGGGCTCCGGGGAAGGTGGAGCTCCGTGACCGCGCTGGGGACCCTCTGTAGGGGGGGATGGCAAGGTCCACAGAGGCTGGGCCACCTGAGGAACCCCCAGTACAGCCCACTCCTCCCCTTGGACCCCGAGATGTCACCCAGCACGGCGGGGCAGAGCCAGGAGGAGGAGCTGTCCCCGAGCTTGCCTGAGCTGCACCTGGGAACCTCTTGGGGGACTTACCCAGACCCCAACCCAAGAAGTTCTGTTTCCACAGTCGGAGCGGAGCCCCAGAAGTGCAGTGCTCAAAAGCTCTCAGGGGTGGTGACACGGTGGCTCCCCACACCTGGCCCAGGGCCTGGGGTGGTGCAGCCTTTGGGGGCGGCAGGAAGGAGGGAGAGGAGGACAAACAGGGCCCTTCCCCTCCATTGAGACCCCTGGACGGCAGCATCCCCAGGTGGGACGGTGAGACCCGGGCTCTTGACCCGTGGCGGCTCAGGGGTCCGCGAACTTGGGCCACCTCTACGTGAAATGCAGCATCTTTCACTGTGACCGTGTCACCAAGGGAAGTCACCGGTGTTTCTCGACCTCGGCGGGTCGTCACAGACCATCCTACAGCACCGTGCTGGCTCTCCGCCGCGGCACCCTGGCCCCGCCACTCAGGGAGTCCCTGAAGCAGCGCAGGGTCACCACCCACCGGCCGCCTCTCCAGGGCATGTTCTCTGGCGGCTTGGACTTGGTTTGGGAGCCTCCAGGCTTCCCGAGACTCCCGAGAGGTGGGTCGCTCCAAACAGGTGGGGGACCCTGCGTGGGCCATGTGGGGTCAGAGCCCTGAAGAGGGGACCCGGGGCTGGAGCACGTGGGGGACAGAACTGGCACCTGTGGCCCTATGATCCTTAGGGACAGTGTGAGGGACTGTCTGAGAGACCCCTGAGAGAGCGTGATGTAGGCAGAGGGCCAGAGCCGCGTGGACCAGCTTCTCCGAGGGTCAGCCCGGGCCCCGGGGCCTGGCCCTGGACCACAGCCTGCGGGGGGGGGGGGCACCTCTGCACCTTGTTGTCCAGGATCGGCCTGTTCTGCCAGGGCTTCGTGTCCTGGGCACACACTGGGCCAGAGCTTCCAGCTGTCCCCTCCCTTTGCCCTTGGGCTGTGAGCGGCCACCTCCTGGGCTCATCAGGAGAGGACCCCGGGCCAGCCCCAAAGCCCTGTCTCCCGAGGTCCCTTTGTCTTAAACCCTGCGTTTCTCCATCTTGTTCGAGCGGGAGACGCACAGATCACAAAGCCCCGGCAAATGGTTTTTATAAACTCTTATTTTCTTGCCACAGAGCTGCCTTTAATTAGCTCCGAGGACTACAAAGGGAGTGTTATAACAGCAGCCCAGGGAGGAAGGAGCCTAGGGCCGCGGGCCGCTGCTGCCTGTCACCAGCCACAGCCGGGTTTGGCGGGAGTGCCCCCCCACCCGGCCGCCACATCCATCTCCCCCACCCCCCTGGGCCCTGGGGACCCCCTCTGAGCCTCAGCCCCAGCAGGGAAGTACCTCAGCTGAAGCTGGTCGCCAAGCACCCAAATGTGTCCCTGGCCCCGAGCCGGCTGCCCGAGGACTGGCCCTGAGTCGCTCTGGTCAGCCAGCAGCCAGGCAGGAGAGGAGGGCGGGCGGCCCGGCTGACCTGGGCATCTCACTGACCACCTCGGCTCAGGAAAGGCGCTGCGACCCCAACCCTGACCGTCGGTCCCCCTCGGCCATCCTGCACTGGAAGACACGGTCCCTTAGATAACGCGGCGGCACAGCCCCAACCACGGCCCCCCTCCTCAGACCGTCAGAATGTCAGGATGCCGGGGGACACTGTTGGGGTCCCAGGGAAGGCAGGTGGCTTGCCTGCGGTCACTCACAAGGAAGCACTGGTCCCTGGGACTCAAGCTGAGAGGCTGAGACCCCAGTCTCAGGGCCATCGTGTCATCGGGGTTCGGGGAGGAAAAGTGCCCGAGGGTCGGACCACTGCCCTGAGGACCAGACACAGGCAGGGACCCTCCCGCGGAGTCTGGGCCCCAGTCAGAGGCTGCAGGGGGCATCCTGGACCCCCATCCTTGCTGAGGAGCCCAGCCCAGGGCTCTGGGCCCCTCGGGGTCATGAACAGAGGCAAAAACCACCCCAGAAACACTTTCCTCTCCACCGGGACCAAGTCCGCCACCTGCCCAGACCCTCCCCCCACTCGGCGCGGCCCTGGGCGGACGGAACAAGTTCTCCCCAAAGCCCGCGGCCCGGTCCTCCCGGAGAGGAGGCTCAGCCTCACCCTCACCGGCCTCCTCGGCTGTCCCCTGAGCCGGCCAGCCCAGGTGTGGTGGCAGATCCAAGCTCTGGCGGGCCAGGGGCTGGGGCCGCAGGGCCTGGAGCCCGTGAGTGAGGCGGGGGCCGAGGGCCATGGAGACTCCCCCTTGTCCTCCCCACCCCAGACCCTCTGAGCTGGCCCTGGAGGTCACAAGGCAGCACTCCTGGCACAGTGTCCCCACCTGCTGAGTGGGGAGGTCCCACAGCCAAGGGACCCGGGGGCCACCAGCCCATCTTCCCCTGCGGGAGGCCAGGGGACTCAGGTGGACAACCTCGCCCTCGAGGGACAGCAGGTCTGTTGTTAGTGGAGGGACGCGGTCCTGGGCCGCAGCTCCCCACCCGGCAGGACTGGCCCAGGACAGGGAGCCCGGGCCGTGGCTACTCACCGCGGACGAAGGTGGGCGAGTAGGTCGGGAAGGAGTCGAAGATGCTGTTGGACGCCATGCCGCCGTCCGCGGGGGACAGAGGCCAGCCTGGTTAGCTGTCCTCGTTTTCTGGGGTTTTTTAAATTTTTTTTTCTAGCTACTTTTGAAAATAAAAGGGGGGGGCTCTTTGTTTGTTTGGGGTTCTCTTGGCTGTGTCCCCCCCCGCAGCTGCTCAAAAAAGAAAAAAGGCAAGAGCCCGAGCCCGTGCGCGGGAGGGAGGAGAAAGTCCCCGAGGAAAGTAAGTTGCTGTTTGTACCCAAGAACTCGGATTCCCGGTCCCACAGGAATGTCTGGCCACAGACTCGGCAGCGCGGCGCACGCAGCCTGGGTCATTAGACAGTGGGCGGCCGTGGAGGCCGGGCTGCAGCAGCCGGCCAGGCCCGGTGGCCCGGAATGAATGAATGAGGCTGGCCTCCCCGCCACCGAGCAGGGCTGCAGCGGCCGGGGGTGGGGACCGCCAGGAGCCAACCAGCTCCCGCGCAGGGCCCGGAGGCGGCGAGGGCCTGGCCTTGTGGTTCTGTGGTCGAGGCCCGGGCCTCGCCGTGTCACCCAGCCTCAGCCTACAGGATGCCGAAGCCAGCTCGCGGCCTGGGCCCCTTGGCTGGGCCGCGGTCACCTGGGCCGTGATGTCAGGCCTCTCAGAAGAACTTGTGGCTGTCTCTCTCCCCCTCTCTCCCTCTCTCGCTCTGTTTTTTTTTTTTTTTTTTTGGAAAAAGAAAGAGAGAAAATTAAAGAAAGAAAAAAAAAAAAGGTGATGGTTTTTATTTGTGGGACCGGCCTCCGCACGCGGCCCGAGAAACAGAACTGAAAGCAGCTTGGGGCGGGCGTCGGGCCGCAGTCTGGACGCCGCGTGGAGGCTCCTGCTTCATTAAGGGCAGCCCCAGGCCTCTCACCCGGCGCCAGGAGCCCGGGTCCGCCAGCGGGCACAGGGCTCCTCACCCAGCCGCCGCACGCCCTGCTGCCTGGGACGCACCACGTGTGCGGCTGGGTGGCACTCGAGGGGCTTAGGGGAGCTGGGATCCCACACAAATGGGAAACACATGAAGCGGCCGCAGCCTGCCCACCGAGGCAGCCTTCCTTGGGAAAAAGCTGGCCACATGATCATGCCAGGAGGCCCTCGCAGAGCTGGGGTCTAGCCTGAGTGTGTCACTCCGGCCCTGGGCCCAGCCTGCCCACCTGGGCCTCTCCTTGGGGTTCTCTGCTCCAGCCTCATGCTCAGAGCTCCCTGCCTCTGGGCCTTTGCACATGCTGCTGCTCCACCCGAGGGGCCCTTTGCCAGCCCCATTTTGAATTTGTCAGGTCCTGGGGGATTTAAGAGCCAAGGGGACTAGAAAATCCAAAGGACCCAGGAGATGATTCAACCCTCCACTTCTACGTTCCCAGAAGCTAAGTCAGGCTGGGGAGGCTGTGGCCTCGTCCATTTCCTCTGTAGACTCTACTTTCCCGTTTCCCAGGGCAGACCACTGAGGCCCAGGGGAAGGAGCCAGCGTGGTATTCTGGGATGGGATTAGGACTTTGGCCTGGACCTTCCTTTGCCTTGGCCGTGACAGCATGGTGCCCTCCAACACCCTTTCAACGAAGCCCCCAGACCTCAGGAAGTCCCTGCACAGTCTGGCCCCACCCCTACCCTCTCCCAGGGGGTCCAGGCTTGGGGCCGGGTCCCAGCACCAGCCTTGGACTCCGAGTGGCCACTGGAGGCCGAGAAGGAGGAGGGGCAACGTCCAGGAAGAGGATCGGCTGCTCCAGGTCACGGGGGCTGGCTTCCGTCCCCCTGGGTGATCTGTGAGTGGACATGGACCCTGCCTGGAGACACGGGGTCCGGCCTCCTGTCCCTGCGAGCGCCCAGCTGGGCAGCCGGGAGCAGGCTCACAGCGAGGCCCCCATCGGGTCCGGTGCCGGCTCCGTGGAAGCGGAGCTGGAGCCTGGGGCACGTCGCGGGCTTCTCTGGGACTCAGTCTTCTTTCCTGGAAAACGGGGAGGAGGACCCTCCGTGGGAGGGCGGGCCCCGCTAAGGATGCGGCAGACGTTGGTTTCCTTGGCCGGCCCGGGCGGTCGGGCTCCCTGATGAGCAGGGGGGAGGCCGGTGAGCAGGGGGGAGGCCGTTCCCACCCCACGCACCCTCCCGGGGGCCTGGGGGCATCCTGTATGGAGTGTGCCGCGCTGTGGAGCAGGTCAGGGTGACAAAGCCGGAAGACCCCCCATTTATGAGAAATGGAAACCGAGTCCCCCAGAGGAACAGACTCATCTAAACTCACCCGGTGACTCAGTGGGACCTGTCCCTGTCCCCAGCCAGGGGCTGTTTCCATTGACACCACCCCTGGTTTCTAACGCACCACCCCACACGCTTTGCTGTTTTTTCCGCACCTATGGGTGGCCCCCCTAAGCTCTGGGCCTCCCTGAGGGGCTCTCCCTCCCCAGGAGCAGAGTCCGGGTGCAGGAGTGGAGGAGGGGTGCTGTGTGGACTCAGGTGTGCAGTGCGTCCTGGGGACAGAGCAGCGGATGCTCCAGGGTCAGGCTTGGTCCTTGCACCTGAGGGACTAACAATCTCCACATGCCCCCTGATAGGCATATACCAGACTTTGAACAAACCCCAGGGAGCCGCCCGGGGAAGCAGAAAGAACATGGGGGCTGGAACCAACCATACCTGAAGCCCGTTTTGGTTCTAATGAGCTATGAGATCGTGGGCAAGAGGCTTTTGTCTTCTAAGTCCTGAAATCCTTGACTGTGAAATGGGGCCCATGGCAGAACTCACCTCCCCAGATTGTAAAGACAGTTAGGTGCGAAAATAATTGTGCGTAGACTTGGCTCACGGTAGGTGCTCAGTTAGGGGGTGGGGGGTGGGAGGCTCTTTTTCCTTGGACTCCTGATTGTGAGTTCTCTTGGCACCCAGTTGGCAGACAGATTATTTTTATTCTCCACTGGAAAAAGAAGCTAGATCAGTTTAATAATAAAAAAAAAAAGATTGAAGGAGCGAATCATAAAAAAAATAGGAATCATGAAAATACCATCTCAAACCTTTTATTTTGCTTTTAAATCTAACAATTGTGCATGGAATTGCTTTCCTCTCATCCTTCTGGCAGAAGTCCACCCGCAAGGTCTCTTTCTACTGTCCAGCTTGGACATGTCCTGGAGAGTCCCCTCCCCCAGCCTTCTACAACCGTCCACTCACCCTAATTATGATTATCATTATTTTTAGCAACTTGCTCTCTCGAGTCTTTCTGAAATATCCAACCTCATCCTCATAAAAACAGAGACTCCAGCTGGGTATCATAGTCTCCTGCCGTCACCACCGTGAGTGGAGTCCACCGAGGAAACCCGGGAGCCAGGGCCGGGAACTCAGAGACCCCTGTGCCCCTGGGGGGTCGGTACAGCCAGCACAGAGCCCCCGCCATCGCCACAGCAGGAAGCCACCGCCACCTGGGGGAAGAGGCACCCAGGACCGTGGTTTCCTGAGGGTCCCGCCAGCAGAAGCAGGACCATGGTGGCCTCGGCTGGCATTTGCTGGGACCACAGGGGTGACTTGGCCTCTCTGGAGATGTCACCTGACACAAAGGGCAGAGACCTGGATTGTCCCTGTCCCCGCGGGTGACCCGAGGGCAGGCAGGCCCAGGGTCGGCCTCACAGCAGGGAAATCCTGTTACCATGGAGACCCCACTGGAGACACACCTGACTCTGGGGGAGCAGAAGGGTGAAGCCCAGACGGGCTGTGGCGGCCAGCGCCCTCTGAGCCGCGCAGGTGGGTCCCAGGAGCTGGCTGGGGGCCGCTGGGAGGGCCCCTTCCTCCTGGGGCCCGAGCGAGCCCGCCCGCTCACCGACCTGGGGCACTGCGCCCGGGAATCGAGTGGCCATTCATGAGCCCTGGCTGCAGGGCCCCGTCAGGAACGTCACAGTTCAATGTGACAGCAGCCCCTGAGCCCATCAGGGCGTCCCCAGAGCAGAGGGTGACCCCGATGGCCTTTCAGATGAGGAAAGACGAATCCCAGGGACGAGCCCCGAATGTCAGCCTCGGGGGGTGCGTTCCATCGACTCGGGCCATTCAGGTTCGGATCTGAGGGGAGCCTGGCCCAGGGTTCCGATCCTGCCACTGGGCAGGGCCCAAAGGGGACCAGGGGAGCCTCGCTTCAGGGGTCAGCAGGGACACACCCAGACGTCTCCGGCCCAGGCAGACCTGCCCCTGCCCTGGGGTGAGGATGAGGCCCGCAGGGCTGTGGGGCCACCAGGGACCAGGACACCTGGGCCGAGCCCTGGGTGGTGAACTGAAGACCCCCACGTGGGCCACCCGCGTCCAGTGCCTCCAGCCGTCCTGGGCCACAGGCTCTGGGAACAGCGGGTCTCACACGCCAAACCGCGTCACGTCTCGGGGAGCGCCAGCGGTGGAAGGAGGCCCGGGTCACCACCTGTGCCTGGCAGCCGGGGGTCAACCCAGCCTGCCCTCCGCCTGCCCTCTGGGCTGCTCTCCCCCTGGACTTTCCTTCCTGTCGTGGGTTTGCCAAAGCTGCCTGGTGTCCGCTTCACGGCCAAGCCCGCCCCTCCCACCTTCCGGCCTCAGCCCCTGGGCAGGACCCTCCCTGGGCAGGACCCCTGGCTGCTGCCCCAGTTCAGCAGCCTTCCGGCTTCTCAGCCCGCAGGGTCGGTGGCAGTGAGGACGATCTAGACGTCCTTAGGGGACCCCAGTCGCTGTGATTCCACCAGCAGCACAGGTCTGCCTCTGAACGGGCTCCGGCCAAGTTGGGGAGCAGCGTCGCCCCTGAGGGGTGGGCCGCCAGGCTGAGCTGGTGGTCCCCCGCGTCCTCCCTGGGGCCTGCTGAGCCTGCTCCTCCATGCCAGGCCTCTGGGGGGCCCTCAGAGGGAACCGTGCAGGACAGAGCCGAGGAACCTGAGCTGGGGGACGGGAAGGGCCGCTGCAGGCCCAGCAGAGGGGTCCACCCCAGTCCCGCTGCCGCACCTGCAGCCACGTCCCCATGTGACCTGGCCTCCTCCCCTCCCGGATGGCCCTGCAGGGAGGTCCTGGGCGGTCAGAGAGCCGGGTCAGCCCCAGCCTGGCACTGCCCACCCAG